CCAGGCCCCACAGAGCCTTGGAGGCCGAGGGGCCTGCCAGCCGGGGTCAGGAAGATTGGGCTGGGCTGAGCCATCAGGAGCCCCCATCACGGAAAAAGGGGCAGGGGCAGGGGCGGGGGTCACTGTTCCCCAGCATCCACTGGGCACGGGGTGCCTTGGTGGCACCATTCTTCACACACCCTCGCAGACACCCATTCCAAGTGTGGCCTCATTTACTAATGAAGACAGGGAAGGCTTTTTTGGCAGCCGTTGCCGGCTGGGCAGCTGGATGGGCACCCCATAGCCGCGTGAGCACCTCTGCTGTGTCTGGAGTCTAGTTGCACTTTCTGAGGGGCTGTGGCCCCCACGTGCACCCTGGAGACAGACAGTAAGGATTAACAGATGCAGCTGTTTGCTCCCTGCCCACATGGGAACCCCCAAGGCTGTCATGAAACTAGTGTTTAATGAGGTGCTAAAGAGCCCGTGTCCAACCAGCTCCAAGGATCCGATCAGGGGAAGAAGAACGACCTTCTCCGAGCTGTGGGCACCCAACCCACAAGCAGGCAGAGGGGCCGGAGTGCTGGCTGGCCACTGTGCAGGTCACCCAGGAGACAGGCCCCAGCCTGCAGGCCGGCCAGGGCCTCCCCCGCCCTCTGCTCCAGGTCCCAGATGTGCTTCTGCTCAGGAGGGTGGGTCGCTGCCAGAGGGTCCCAGGACCCGCTCTAGGTGGGGAGTGGGGAGGGGACTCCGGAGAGCCCCGAAGAGGATAAGGTGCCCTCACACGGCACTGCTTCTGCCCCCAGCCTCACGCTGCGCTCTGGGCTGCCGCGCCGGCTGGCATGGACCCCAGCCCCGGCTTTCCAGGCCGTCCTGGTCAGCACAGAAGCCCATTCCGGGGCCCGCCCCCCGGACCTGAGGAATCCGAGCCTCCAGCCCTGGGGGCCCAGCCCTCCACAGTAACATTTTTCAGTTTCATTTTTCTAATTTGTTGATTAGTTAATGTATTCACAAAGTTTACATTTTTGAAAGCAGAGAAGGGTCCAGGTGTGCACCCAAAAGAAGCCAACGGCTATCTACCAGAACCTGGAAACACCCAAACGCCCAGCAATGGGAGGGGGATGACTAAGTGTGGTGCACTCGTGCCAGGGAACACTGCGTGGCAGTGAAGGCGCAGCCGAGGGCTGCACGACGGCCGGACGAATCTCAGCCGTGCTGTTAAGTGCATGAAGCTGACACACGGGGGACACCTGCGCAGCTCCAGGCGGGACTTCCCAGGCGGACACTGTGATGGGGCCACGTGGGTGTGCGGGAGGCACCTCCCTGTGGTTCTGACCCCCATCCCCCTAGTGCCCGGCGGTCGAGCACCTTCCGGGTGCTTATTGGCTGTTTGTATGTCTTCTTTGGAGAAATGTCTATTCAGGTCCTTTGCCCTCTTTTGAATTGGGCTTTTGTGGTCGTTGTTGAATTGTAGTTCTTGATCGATTCTGGGCAGTAGCCTCTTATCAGATACGTGACTTTCACGTAGTTTTCCTGTTCTGTGGAAGCCTTTCCACTCTCTTGAGCGTGTCTAATGCACAGTTTTTAATTTTGATGAATTTATCTGGTTTTTCTTTTGTGCTTGTGCTTTCGGTGTCATATGCAAGAAATCACTGCCAAATCTAATGTCACAAAGGTTATCCTCTATGTTTTCTTTTAAAAGTTTTATAGTTTCACTGTTCCATTGAGGTCTTTGATCCACGCTGAGTTAATTTTTGTGTGTGGTGTGAGGTAGGGGTCCTTCATTCTTTTGCACGTGGGTGTTCAGTTGTCCCAGCACCATTGTTGAAAGAATTGCCCTTTCCCTGTTGAATGGTCCTGGTACCACAGAGGTTTTTATTTGCTATTTAATGTCATTCTAAGCTTTAAAAAAAATTTTAATTATTAGCATGAATCTTAGCGTTTACCTTTATACTGTGCAATGTCAGTTTAAAATGCAAATTGAGGACATGTAACTCAAATGCACAACCACCACATTACATGATTGGTATTTCCTTGTCATACGTCATGTGTATTTCCTTCCTACGGAACGGTGACTGCATTTCCCAAGGATGGTTGCCATCCCTCATGTTCTTCCAGAAACTTCCTTGTCAAGAAGTAGTCCATGTCCCCTCCGCTTGAATCTGGGCAGACCTCCGTGACTGCGTCGACCAGCAGCAGAAGTGACTTCCAAGGGTAGGTCATGAAAATGCCAGGCACTGCTGCTTCGTTCTCTTGGGGCCCAGCTGCCGTGCTGCGAGGAGGCCCAGCTAAGTTTTGGGGTCGTTTGTTACCCAGCCGTTGGTAACTGATGTACCTGGCATCCTCCAGCATTGCAGCCATTGCCGCCACTGCTGTCAAGACACAGACGGAGAAACCAGGAAGCAGTGGGCAGATTCAGGACGTGCTCAGGGGTAGGGTGGCCGAGTGGGCGGGATTGGACGGAGTGGGGGTGGGGTAAGGGGCGGTCCTGGAAGGCTGTGTGCTGAGCACATTTGGAAGCAGTTGTGATTAGTTAAGATGAGCTCACAGTGGGGAGGGTGGGACCCTAATTCAGGTGACTCGGGTCCTTATAAAAAGGGGACGTGTGGACAGACAGGCAGAGTCGGGTGATGCATCCAAAAGCCCAGGAACGCCCAGGATTGCCGGCACCCACCAGCAGCGAGGGGAGCCCGCCTGGGGCAAACCCTCCCTCTGAGCCCCCAGGAGGAGCCAGCCCTGCGACACCGGGATCTCGGACGTCAGCCGCCACACCTGAGACGATGGAGTCCTGTTGCCCAAGCCGCCGGGTGGGCAGTGCTTGGTTATGGCGGTCACAGGAAACTGCTACAGGCCTTAGTCTCCCATCTGTTGACTGGGGGCAGGGGGTGGGAGCTGCCCAGTGGGAGCTACACATTGGCTGGCCCCTCCACACCCGGTTGTGCCCCCAGCGGAGTCAAGTGGGTGGGAGGCTGGTGGGGCTTGGAACCTGGAGGCTCGAACCAGCTGTGTGTCCCAGCTGTGTTCTCAGTCTGCCCAGCAGGAGGCAAAGGAGCCCCACCGAGCACCCAGTTTCCAGCGCCGACTATCATTGAGCGAGCACCTGCTTCTCACAGGCTTCAGATATGACGGCAGACACTTCTGTTCACCCTCCGAAGCCCAGCTCAGGAGTCACCGCCTCCATGAAAGCGTCCCTGCAACGACGCCCAAAGACAGGAAGACCCCCACCCTGTGTGACCTAGGTTGCTTGGTCAGCCTCTTAGTTTCCACCATAGGCCCCTAAACAAAAGGGGCTGAGCAATTTGGGGTCTTCCCAAGAAGCTGTGAGCACTGAGACTCTCGTTCGTCCCTGTGCTCAAGCACTTGACACAGGGGCTTGCACACAGTAGATGCTTAATAAATGTTTGTTGAATGAATAGATGTTGGGTCTAGTGGGTTTGGCAGTGGAATTGGGCTGAGTCTCTGAGTTTGCTCTTAAGGAGACAAGTTCTCACTTTGCTAAATCCAAGAATGTGTCTAGTTGGTGCCCTGCCATGGGCACCTGCTGTCCACGAGTCTAAGGGGAAGTCCAGGAGGTCTCTCTGGAGGAAAGGACATCTGTGACCACTCTCTGAAGCACAGATCGGTTTACTCTGCCCAATATGAGAAAAGTGAGGCGTTTCCAAAAGGAAGTGAAATGGTGGGGTACAAGAGTGGGAGAGAGAGAAGGGGGCGGCTGCCCAGGGCCTCAGGGGGCCAATCCTGGCAGATGCCACACTCAGAACCTGCTCCCTGCACCCCATATTGCAGCCCCTGCCTTCCCACAGGCCCCCATCCCTGAAACCCTGGAGGATGGACGGGCCCCACCTTTGTATGCACCTAACCCTAACGGGGCTTCAAGGAGATGGGTGGGAGTACCGACATGGGGCCCCGCCGGGCCTACTGGTTGCCCCAAATACGGCTGCTCCCCGGCATGCACCTGGGCTGTTCCTGCTCTCAAGTGGATGTCCCCAAACTTCCTTGTGACCTCTGGCAACGGCGCTCTGGCCCTGGGCCTCAGTTCACCGAGGGGTCGCGCCTGAGCCCTCCTGACCCCGCTACGGGCAGGCTTGCCCCTTATTTCGCTCCTGGCCTCCCAGGCCCTGGCAGCCTCCCTACAAACTGATCCTGACATTGGCGGGGCCGGCGCCGTCAGGGGGCCGCCGGGCAACTCGGGCTGAGCTGGGCCGGGCGGGCGGGAGGCGGCCGCAGCCTTGCCCGGCGCGCATTGCCGCTGCTCCCCGGCTGTTTGTTTTCGTAACCAACTCAATATTTAAGACCCGGCCAGCCGCCGCCGAGCTCTAGGGCTCCCCCTTCCTTTGTCTCGCTGCGCCCCTCCGCCCCCCGCACCTCCTCCGACAAACCGTGCGACTCTGATGGAAAATTCATTAGTCGGCCTCCCCTCCCCTCCCCGCGTTCCCAGGCAGCTCTGCGCCTGATGTGTCAGCCTCTCCGTCCTGATTATCTGGAGACGCCAATTTCAAAGAGACATCTTAATAGTGATGTCAACGAATTAATTAGATGTGTTAATGAGCTAAAAGCAACCCAAATTAAATTAATGCAGTAATAAGCGCAGACAGCAAAATTAGCTCCAATTTCTCTAAATGATTCTGAACTGTACACAACACCTCATCTCGCTAGAACATCACCATCCCCCAAAGCTAATCAAGAACCCAGCGCAATTAGCTGCTTAATTACAAACAGGCGCGCGCGCGGGCGCACCGCCGGCGAGCAGTCCGGCGGGCGGGAGGGTGTAGCCGGGGCCGCCAGCCCGGGGGCAGCGAGGCGGCGCGGGTCGCCGTCCCCTCGCCACCCCTCATTGTTCCGAACCCGCGAAGGGGGCGGGCGCAGGGGCTCGGCTGGGCCCGGCGCGGACCTCCGTGCCAGGCGGGGAGCAGGCCGGCGGGAGCGCCCCGGGCGAGGGCGGGCGCGCGGCCGAGGAGCGGGGCGCGGGGGAAGGCCGGGGAGGGGGGGCGGCGGCGCCGAGTTGTTTATTGCTTGCATCAGAATCTGCGTTGCAAGGAAAAAGCTAATTGTCCGGCCCGGCTGATTTCCCACCGGGCAGGGAGAGCTGCTAACAGCTTCTCGAGCGGCTCAGGTATCTGATTAGCTGTAATTGCAGCTAGAGACGGGAGAGGGGTGAGGACGCAGCGGGAAGGGGCGGGGAAGGGGGCGTGGTGGGGACCCGGAGTCCCGGCCCAGCCAGGCCTGTGCGGGGGCGGGCCGGGCAGAGGGTGCCAGCCCGGTGCAGGGGCAGAGGGTGCCAGCCCGGTGCAGAGGCGGAGGACCTGTGACCAGTGGAGGGGAGACTGGAGGCAGAGGTGGCCCGAGGGGTCAGCTCCCCCTCACACGCGTGGGTGAGGGTCCAGGCGTGGCAGGATCCCTAAAGTGACTCCTCCGCGCAGGCCACACCGTCTCGGGGGAGGCCTGTCCCTCTGCAGAGTCAGCCTGGCGAGTGGCCTGCCGGAGGGCGGGGCCCGTGACCTAGCGCCAGGGCTAGGAGCAGGCCCGGGGCCCTACACAGTCGGTGCCGACACACGGGCTGAGCTGCTGCCCTGTGCGCACAGGCCGGTGGGCAGTGAAGCCCCTTCCCTGCCCCCCAGGTCGCCCACCCGCCCACATTTTACAGCGATGAGTTCAGTCTCCCAAATCAAAAGTGTTTTTTGTTCATTTCCGATCCAGGTGATTGATTTGGGGAGACGAAGGAGCTGATCAGTGTGGCCGTTCTGGCCTGGGGGGCAACCTCGCCCCGTGGAGAGTGGCTCTCCCCAGAGCAGGGCAGGGGGCGAGGACCCCAGGAGGACACAGAAGGGGTTCAGGGCACAGGCGCTGGGCAGCCCCCTCCCCCTCCGTGGGCCTCCAGGCCCACACTTTTGCCCGCCCTGCAGAAATCACACCCCTCTGCCTCTTCTATTCCTTCCTTCCATGCATTTTTTTGCTCGTGCATGTTCATTCGTCTATTTGTTTTTCAGCTTATTGTTTCATTAAAATATATCCATTTCCACTCAGTTCCAAACAGGAAGGAGACAGTGCCACCTCATAACCCCCTGGTTATAAGCTCTGCCCCTCGTGGGGGGCACCAAGCTCCCGGGGACCCCCAGGTGACAGTCCCTGCCCTTGCAGGCTCCTGTGTGCTGTGACAGGAAGAAGCAATTGCAGCCTGTGACATGTGCACTAATGGTGTAAGCACAGGGTGCCAGGGGACCCGGAGCCCACTGGGGAGGGGGGCGAAGGAGAGTGGGGGGGCTTTGGAGGCACAGTATGTAGACTGATGGGGGGGAACTGGGGTGTGGGAGGTTCTGCGGCAGAAAAGCTAGGGGCTGCCTGAGGAGACATGCAGGGGGCTGGTGGGACCCTCAGGGGCCTGGCCCTCACCCACCAGAGCCACCTTGTTCCCCCCAGGCAGGCACCCCACACGCTGTGAGCACATGGACCACAGAACCCTGCAGGAAGCTGGTGGGCTGGGGTTCTGGGGACCTGCCCCCAACGCCACCCAAATCCCAGAGCCAGCCTTAACCTGCAGTGGGGAGTGACAGCTGTGCTAAGGAAGGCAGAGGCTCAGTGTCTCCAGCGAGGAGAGACGTGCCCGCTGTGGCCCAAAGCCACTGCAGCTTGGGGGGCGGGTCGTCACGCAGGCTCACGAGGGCCAGGGCCATGCCCAGCTGGGTGGAAGCGTGTGGCCCTACAGTTCCACAGTCCCAGGCCCGCACCTGGCTCTGCTTCCGGGGTGGGGGTGTGAGGCTGGGGGCCGGGGCTGCTCAGGATCACAGGGCCCTGCTTGCCTTCCTAGATGCCGGCTCACCTTTGGACTCCGTTCTAGGACTGTGCTTCCCAGTGAGCGGGGGAAGGATTGTTTGGCTGAGGCAAGTCCTCCCTCCTCTGGGCTTTCCTCTCCCTGGGGTAGGGGCCACTGGGGCGGGGACAGCAGGGCTGGGAGGGGCCTCTGGGGGCGGGGACAGCAGGGCTGGGAGGGGCCGCTGGGGGCGGGGACAAGCTACAGAGATGGGGCGGGGCTCACCTGGGTGTCCCTGGGGCTGCCGGCCTGGACACCAGTTGTCCTCCACATGCTGACAAATGGGGGAGAGGGGCTGGAAGTGGCAGCCGCACATGGTCCCCATCCGCTGACATGGGAGGGGCCAGTGACTGAGCTGGGGGCCCCTGTCAAGGGAGGGCCCTGTGCAAGGGCACACGGCGTGTCTGGTCACGCCGGGCACACACAGGACAGTGGCAGGAGTCAGGCAGGCCCCAGGGAGCGACCGTCACCGTCAGGTGCACACCTGGAGGCCACCGCCCAGGCTCCCGCAGCCCAGGCCAATTAGGAACCCACTTTACATTATTTTAATTTGTCTCTGGGGCCCATGAAGGAAAGTCATGTGATTATTATTATTATTATTATTATTATTTTGGCTGGAAACTCCAGCAGCCATTATATAAATTACATATAATTGAATCCATCAGAGTCTGTTTATTTTGAACAATCGTGTTTCTTTCCCCAACTACAGGGCCACCCTCTCCCCACAACACACCTCTGAGCCCCTGACGTGAGAATCTCCTGAGAGGAGGAGGGAGGCCTCCAGACCACTCGGGCCACCTCACCCATGGGGGCCAGGGTCCTTTGGAATCCATCCGCCGAGGGGTCCTTCTCTCTCTGCACCACCCTCTCTACACTTCTGGCTGGCTTGCTGTGTGAGCTGGAGCAAGTTGCCTAACCTCTCTGAGCCTCAGTTTTCTCATCTGTGACAGCTTGTGACTCAAATGGCTGGCTGGGCATTATGTCAAAAGGAGGGAGTGCCTGGAACACCACCAGCGTGGTGCCTTTGCCGAGTGTCTGTTTAGGGGACACAGTCTTCAGTCACCAGGAGTGTACCTAGTGCTGGGGGTTTCAGTGGTGATCGGGGTTTGTTTTGACCAGGTATGGAAGACACACAGATTGGAGATGACCGTCATGAAGGAAGACCTTCGTGTCATACTCACAGTCCCCTGGAAACAGGAGGCCGCACACGTGCAGGGCCACTCGGGGAAGCACCAGGGACGTCAGGAGGCCGAGGGAGGGGACGGGGACAAGAGCCTTCACTGTGGTTTCCGTAGCAGGAGCGGGCGAGGCTGGGTGGCAGGCTTGGGACTGGCTAGTTTGGACAATTCCAGCGGGCTCTGGGCACAGGTCTGTCCCTGGTTGTCTGGTACCGGCCCTGGGTGACGAGGGTAGGTGGACAGTGGCCAGAGGGTGAGAGCCCATGGGGGGGCGGGGTGAGCTCTAGGCCGGTGGGTTTGCATCTGAAAGGTGTGCTCCTGGGTGAGAGGTTCACTCTCTCTAGGACTCGGCTGGCCCTGGGAGGGGCCGTCCCTGCAGGGTCAGCAGGGCCCCGGATGTCGGGACATCAGAACACAGACAGTAAGAAAATAGTGAATACAGGGGCCAGCCGAGTGGCGCGTTGGTTAAAAGTTGGCTTGGGACACCATTTCTGAGCAGCAGGGCCCTGGTTCGGATCCCACATTAGGGCCAATGACTCTGCACCCTCTACAGCTAAGATGGTGAACAACGGCTCGACCTGGAGCTGGGCTGCCGTGAGTCGCCAGCAACAGCGTGGGCTGCAGTGAGACTGCAGTGGGTTGCCATAAGCTACCATGAGTGGCTGGCAGCCAGCGTGAGCTACCAAGAGCTGCCGTAAGCGGCCATCCGGTGGCCGGTGAGCGACTGCCTCACCCGGGAAGAGCGCAATGATAAACAAACATGGGCCAGTGAAGCGACGTCCTCCACAACTAGACTGAAGAACAAAAGGACAGCAACTTGTCTGTTCCCCTACCCCAATTCCCCAATAAAAAAATCTAAAAAAGAAAAAAAGAGAAAATAGTGAATACATAAGGGAGTGAAGCGGATGCCAGCAGCTGAGACCGAGTCCTGCCTGGGTGCTCAGCTGTCTCCCCCTGCTGTGGAGAGATGGTCCAGCAGTCACCCGATGGGGCTGGGAGGGGAGATCCTGCTCTCAGTGCCGAGGACACTGAGGCCCAAAGACGGAGGGGGAAGATGTCCGAACACCCCCAGCATGCGCGGCCCTGGCGGGAATACTACGCACGCAGCTGCTGAAAGGGCGCCATGGACAGCATGGTCGGTCACAGAAAAGCCAGCAAGAAGCAGGACGTGTGTGACACACTGCCACTGCCGGGACAGGTGAGAGGTACTTCGGTTCTCAGATGACCAAGCGCTTCTGGACACACAGGAATCTGTCAGCGGCGGCCACCGGCCGGGTAGCCTGGGTCTGCAGGGGCAGAAGCATCACCCCTGGCCCTTTTGTGCTGCTGCAGTCACCTCCTCCCAGCACCCTCAGTGGGCGCTCGTTAAAGACACTCCAGGTGCACCAGGTGTACACCCAAGAACACTGAAAACGTACAGCTGTGCAAAGTCTGTACCCCAACGTTCACAGCGGCACTGCTCACAACAGCCCAAGAGTGGAAGCCACCCAGTGTCCCCCAGCGGGTGAACAGATAAATGTGACCTTGTCCAGCCATAGAGGAACAAAACAGCGACACACCACAGTGTGGACGAACCTGAAGACACTGTACAGAGGAAGAAGCCGGATGCAGAGAACATGCCGGAAGATCCCATTTACATGAAATGTCCAGATAGAGACGTGTAGAGACAGAGGCTGTGGCTTGTGCCTGCCGCTAGGCACAAGGTTTTTCTGGGGTGATGAAATGTTCTCAGATTAGACAGTGGTGGTGGCTGCACTGCTCTGAATACACTGACTTGTGCCCTTCAGAGGGGGACTTGTACACTATGTTGTGTGAGTTTCCTGTGGCTGCTGTAACAAAGTGCCACAAACCAGGTGACTTGAAACTGAAGTTTATCGTGTCGCAGTTACGGAGGCCAGAATCTGAGACCAAGGTGTTGGCAGGGCCAGCCTCCTACCAAACGGCCCAGGGGAGGCCCCTTCCTTACCCGATCAGTTCCCGGTGGTGGCCAGCAACCCTCAGAGTTCCTTGGCTTGTGGCAGCATCACTCCTTGTCTGCCCCCGTCTGCTCATGACCTTGTCTTCTCATAAGGACACCAGGCATCCTGGCTTAGGGCCTACCCAGTGACCTCACTTAGTTTGATCACTTCTGGAAGGCCCTGTTTCCAAACAAGGTCACTTCCATGAGCTCTGGGGTTAGAGCTTCGGCGTATCTTTCAGCACCATTCAACCTTCAACCCACAGCATAGGTGAATTATAGCTCAATAAAGCTGTTATTACTTTGAAGTTTTAGGCAATAAAATATAAAAAGAGAGAGAAGAAATACACCCCACTACAGGGAACCCTGAGCCAGAATCAGCTAACAAAGTGACCACACAGAGCAGTCAGGAGACCCCACTCAGGGAGGCCTGTGCCACCCTTAGTGCCGTAATAATCACTCAGATAATGTCTGCAAACACTGCAGCAGTAAGAATAACACCCCTGGCCTGTGGCTCTGCCTGCCTCCCTCACTAAGGCAGCCCCCACCCCTGCCTGCCCCTTCCCGGCCCCACCCCACCGCCCAGACAAGTCTGTCACATGCCATGTCCCCTACTTGTGAAGTAACAACCTGTCACACCCACAACCTCTTTGCGCCCCAAACGTTCTCTGATCTGTGTAATCTGCAGTTGATGCCGTGCCGTTTGATAGTAATATCTTTTGTTTGTGTCAGGGTTCTGCAGAATCTAATTAAGGTGTGTTCTCGGCGTAACTGGGGCGTTTGAACAATCCCGCGGAGCAGACAATGCAAGCTGTTGACCTGCTCGATAACTGCTCACTGAGGACTCAGGGCAGTGGGCGGGGTACCAGGGCCACACCTTCCAATGGGGCACCGCCCTGGCTGCCCGCCGGCCACTGTGTACAGGTGGCAGTGTCCTCATCTTCACTGGGGGTGTTTATCATAGCAGCGACTCTCTGTATGTGCATCTGTGTGTACATGTTGTGTACACACACACGTGCTGCGCACAACAGGCACAGCATACGCGAGCGAGGCCTCCCTGGGCAAGTGCCTGCTGCCTCGACAGCCCTCCCCACCAAGTGCTCTGGGAGGCGGGCATAATGGCCCGTTGCACAGATGGGGAAGCCGAGGCCCTTGGTGCCCTGGGAGGATGCGTGTGCTAAGGCCGGAGCTCAGGGCCACCTCTGAGCTGCCATCAGGTACCAGCACACCTGCACCTGGGAGGGCTAAGCCTGGCTTTGGCCCCAGGCAAATAACGACACACAGAACCTGCAGTCCATCCTCAGGGGCAGGCCCCGACAAAAATGTCATTCCTCCTGGACAGACGGGAAAGAGCTCCAGAGAGCAGGGCTTGCCCACAACACACAGTGGGCTGGTGGCACAGACTGTCCTTCCTGACCCTGCGGGCCACAGCCGGGCTCCCTTTTGAAGAACTGACTTAAGCTTGGACAGGACCAAGAGGCGAAGGCCAGGAACAAGTGTCCTTCAGTCCCAGGGGGGCTTCTGGGCGGCTGAGTCTGGGATCCTGGCCCGATACGCAGGTGACCTAGGCAAGTGCCCCCTCCATCCCCAGTTAGTCCCCGTGGAAGCACCCAGCAGGCAGGGTTGATGACAGCATTATAGCCTGTCAGGTCCTGTTCCCAGATGGCACCCAGTAGGTGGCACTCAGAGCTGCCATCATCACTGCTGCTGTGGTCACAGCTCCGGGGTCAGCAAACGGCACAGCCCTGCGGGGGTTGTGGGGCTGTGCTCGCCGTGTGCAGGGTGTAGGACAATGCCCATTGCAGCCCCCGCTCCAGCTCAGCGCCCGCCTGCCCATTAGAGCTGCCAAATCAGGGCTCTGGCTCCAGGCCCCAGGACGTTCGGTGGCCTTCAGTCTCCCCATCTGTGGGTTGGG